TCTATGGTGAGGAAAAACTTGGGTTCTTGAACATGTATGTTTATCAATAAAAGTCCTAACTTGAAACATTTCGCAATCTTTTATTCTCTTTGCAATCATACGCCACGTACAGTTTTTGTCAATCATACACCTTGTTTCGAAACGATCTTTGCTTGATTTGTTAACTTTTAGTTAATAGCCATCTTCCACACATTTCGTATACAAAGCTATCTTCAAGTCTTCCTTTGTATCAAAACAATCATCTTTCTTGATACGAATAACTTTTGTGTAACAATCAACTGCTTTCTTTACCAACTCTTCTTCCGGTATCTGAAGTAATTCTGGCATATTCCAGTTATACGCCCGTGGCATTTTCTTTTCTTCGGGGACTTTTTCTTCTTCTTTTTCTTCTTCAGGATTATATGAATTACAGAATGGATGTTCAACATGTTTATTCACAGTCGTAACTTCCTCCTCATTATCATCAACAATACCTTCTTCGGCAACGGCTGTTTCATCATCAAAATTCGGGTATTGACCAATATCAAAATCATTACACGCAAGGTATGTTTCTTCTTCTGAAACATCATCAAAATCCGTGTATTGACCAATATCAAAGTCCGGATATTGACCAAGACCAAATTTCGAATACTGACTAGTACTCACAATTTTTTCTGTTGGCTCATCATCGTCTAACTGGTCAATACGAAAACCGGAATTTGGTGCTGAAAGTTGATTGGGATTTGGATTAGAGAAAGGTTGTGGGTTTTGAGAAAAACTTAGTTGATTACTACCCGCTACTGACCCAACAATACTACTTCTAGGTTCAACAACATACAATGTAACATCATCTTGTGAAACACTAATGTAAGCAATGAATCGTTCAACATCTTCATTGTCGGTTAACAAATAAACTTTACCATTCCTCTGATAAGATAGCCTAAATCCACTTAGGGGCTCTAAATTCAATTTCTTTGAAACACGTAGCATTAGAGTTTCATAAGTTAACTTTTGTAAAGACAATTTTAGTTGAAGATTCATGGGTAAAGGCATATATTGTAAAACACCATGAACATTATCCCATGACCCTCTAAAACACAAATCTATCCAAACATGATCAACATTAGATGATTTAATGGTTGTAAATTAATTTACTAAACAGACGAGCTGCGAAACTAAAACCTGTTGCCGGATTGGGAAGGATGTCGTTGGATATAGGAACGGATGTCGCCGGAGAGAGTGATAGATGGAGATGGAATGAGTTGCGATTTAGGGATTTAGTTTATGATTTGCTGCTGTTGCGTAGTTATATACCCAAAATTTCAGTGTTGTGATTTATAGATTCTCGTTGCGATTTACGGATTATCGTTGCGATTTACAGATTCTCGTTGCGATTTACGGATTATCGTTGCGATTTACGGATACGCGTTGCGATATACGGATACGCATTGCGATATACGGATACGCATTGCGATTTACGGATACGCGTTTCTATTTACGGATACACGTTGCGGTTTACGGATACGCGTTGCGATTTATGTGTTCGCGTTGCGATTTTCATATTCGCGTTGCGATTCTGGAAAATCGCAATGCGAATTTGTACTATCGCATTGCGATTTTCAAGAATCGCGTTGCGATTTTGGAAACTGATTTGCGATTCTGGGGATCGCGTTGCGATTTTTATTTCGCGTTGCGATTTTGTTGGTCATTTTGGCAAATCCAAAAAAAGTTGGTTAAAATCGTATATTATAAGGCATTTTTGGTCACTGAGACGATTTTCTCTTTTTTTTAATTTAAATAGGAGGGTTGAAACGAAAGGGGGAAGGCCAAGTGCGGTTTTATGGAAGGTACTGACTCAAATCCAGGGGCTATCAGGAACCGAGATGTTTTATCGCTGCAAAATTTGCTTAAACAAGCTGAAACTCACTCTATTCCGAGCCAACTCGATTGATGCACTTTCCTCTCCAATCCAAACAATTTAAAGCTAATTAATTTTAGCCTCAACATTTAACACCCCATTTCTCTCTGCCCATAATTCTTTACTTTCCTTGCTTTCAACACTTCCTGGTTGAACCCAGGACCAGGACCCTCTAATTTTCAATGCAAGGAGGCGCTGTTAATGGCAGTTCTGAAAGTGGGTAAATTTTCCACCGTGTCAAGGGAGGATAACATGGTGGTCTCCTCTGAAGATTCTTCGTGCTCAGATGAGTATGAATTGGAATTGGGTCTTAGCCTCGACCTCGGTGATGGTGGTTCTAAGATGCACCAGGTTTCAATTAGTGGTCAATATGCTAGGATTCTGACTACTCAAGATTTCCCCCCTTTGTTTCCTTCCTCATCATCGTCGTCTTCATCGACTTCGTTTTCTTTAAGTGGAGCTAATGCCGCAGCCGGGACCGAGAGGACTGCTGATTCCGTGGCTACTGCTATTGGATCTAGGTAAATATGGATGGAACTCCAATCGGAAGGAAATAGGATCAATGGCGCCGCAATGTGATATGTCAAACAAAATTGCAAGACCTTGAAAGCATTCACGCAAATGAGGTTTTATGGATTTTTCTGGGTGAATTGCACCTAAAGCCATTAATTATTGTAGATTTCAACTTTCAGTCTATAAATTTTACCCGGAATTCAATCTAACCCCTAATTTATTTTTATGATTTGATCTAATATGTTTATTTAATTATTATTCTATTTTCACCAACATTTTTGTGTTTTCTCAGGTTTTTTATTTCGTTTATTTTATTACTTTTAAAATATTAATTTTCCTCTTTTATTTAATTTATTCATTATTTCTTATCTAATATTTTTAACTTTTTAGGGGAATTTTTTAATTAATCAAAGGTAAGTAATTCGAATCGAGGTTTTAAATTTTTAATTTAAATTTCAAATTATCGCAATTAAAGGCAACTGACAAATTAATTGGTACCGAAAGGGCGATTCAAGGGTACTAATTATTCCTTGACCGTAACCGACTCCCAAACCCAACATATTTCTGGTAAAACACAGATCATGTAAGATGGTGTCCGATCTACCTAATTATTTTTTAAAATAATCGGTAGCGATTCTAACACATTTTTCAAGTCAAAGCCTAATTCCGTACCCAACCGAAAGACGGCCGATAATTTGTATATTTTAAAATTTAAATTTAAAAATATGCATTTTAAATTATATTTGGTTTGAATTGTGGGCTAAGAAAAGATTGCCGAAATCTGACAGTGAACTCATCCACCAATCTTAAATCCATTAATTTGGTCATATGTAAATTCATTGTATGGAGAAACCCTGGCTTCAAGCAACTCATCCACCAATGCAACACGAGTGCCTTGAATGCCACTTCTTTTTAAGTCATTGATACAAATATATTCCTAAAACTTTATCCAAACCAGATTTCTTTACAAAATCTGTTTGAGCATGAGATAAAATCACGCGTCCATGACTATGTCGCCACCGAGCACGTGTGTTCGGTTCTTGTATACTACATCTTTATATATGGACTTAATTATAAAATAAGTGTTTAAACTATGCTATTTTTCACGAATAGGTGTCTAAATTATTTTTTTGAATTATATGGGTGCATAACGTTACATAGACACGTGTCACGTTCAGATAATTTTGAAACATTTTAAAAAAAATAAGAAATATTATTATATTTATAAAAACAACCATATTTTTTTTAAATTACAGAAAGCCCCAAAATCCCTAAAATTCTCAAATCTTAACCCTAACCTTAACTCCACCTACGTTTCTGGCCACACCCACCTCCTCTGACACCTTCCCTACCATCTTCATAGACAGACAACACCGTGTAGTCACAATGGTTGTCCCTTCATTGTGTTCACCGTCGTTTTGTCGGGTAGATTTCTAAGCGATTTTAGGGGACTTCGATTATTGTTATGGTGGTTGTTCGTTGGGTAATTAATCTTCGGTGGAGGCGCGACCATGTGGAAGTGCAATCAACGATGGACTATTTTTAAGATTTTTGAAAATTTTAGGATTTTTTTAAATAAAACTTTTAAAGTTTTTATAAAATAAAAATTTCAAAATTACCTATGGGCAACACATGTCATTTAATAGTGGAATTTAATGTTTGTCATGTCTCGGGCATATAAAGTGGTAATGTTTGTAGCGTTAGATATATCAAAAAATAATTTGGATACAAATTCGTGAAAATGATATAGTTTGAACACTTATTTTATAATTAAGCCTTATAAATGAATATTTGATTTTAGAGAAAAAGTTGCGTTGAAGAAGATGTTCGATTGAATGTGTGAGGGAAATACGAGATTTCAGAATGTTGAATGTGATATTCTAAATATTATTTTTTTTAAAATAAATAATTTTATGACTATTAAATTTAAGGTTTTAGTTTAGTTAAATATTTTTTAAAATGATAAAAAAATAAAAATTTTCATTAGCTTCTATATACTTCATTTAAGTTATGGATTCAAATTATGTATTTTGATTTGATCAATTTTGTTTTCTATTTTTTTTAAATTTTAAATTTTTTATTCTGATGCAAATAATATATTTTACAATGACACCATAACTAAATTAGAAAAAAAATTAAATTATCAAGTTGGAGATTAAAAACTAATCAACAACTTTCGCTTAACACAAGGAGTGGTCGTAAATTTTAACTTAACAAATTTCACAATTACTGTTTAGAGTGTGATTGAAATTTAAAATTTTAAAAAATAGTATAAGATTAGGAATGACCAAATTAGTATGTAGTGATTAATCCGTAACATACACATAATATAAGGAGTAATAGAAGAGTTTAACCTAAACAATCATTATCAACAATAAATAATCTATTAATAATACTGGATTTGTTAAGAAGAAGAGTTAATGCTCGGCTTGATACTGGGACCCAGAGCAGCCACGTGTAAACATCTGAAGCTGAGTATCAGCTACACACCAACTAACTCACTAGCTCACTCACTCACTCTCCTTCCTCTTCCAAGCTTGTTATTTGATCCGTGTCTCTCCAGTTCTCCAAACTTGTTGATCTGTTTAAGCTTAGTCATAATGTGTGACGAGGATCACCATTTCGAATCGAAAGCCGATGCCGGAGCTTCTAAAACTTTTCCTCAGCAGGCCGGCACCATCCGTAAGAACGGTTACATCGTGATCAAAGGCCGTCCTTGCAAGGTTTCCAGTCTGATCCTCAAATCTAAGTCAAAATTCTTTGATCTCCGATTTCGTTTGGCGAGTAAGAATAATTATTGATTGAGAAATTCTTGGTTCGAAGAATCTTTGATACGCTTTCTTGAATTTCTACAGGTTATGGAAGTTTCGACTTCGAAGACCGGAAAACATGGGCACGCGAAATGTCATTTCGTCGGAATCGATATCTTCACCGGTAAAAAGGTTGAAGATATTGTTCCTTCGTCTCACAACTGCGATGCAAGTCTTCTCTCTCGGAGTCTCGGTCACTCGATCTATGCGTTTTGTCTTAGGGTTTCAGAGTCTAATGTTGATGTTGTTGGTTCCATTTTACAGGTTCCTCAGGTCAGTCGTACTGATTACCAGCTGATTGATATCTCCGAAGATGGATTTGTAAAACTAAATTTTAATTGATTTTCGTTTTTTGAAATTGAGTGGCTTCAGATGATTGTTCTTACCATAATGATTTAGGTGAGTTTGCTGACTGAAAGTGGTAACACTAAGGATGATCTTCGTCTTCCAACAGAAGAACCTCTGCTTACACAGGTTATTGTAGATTTTAAATGATATCTTCTCGAAATATTCGTATCTGACACTCATATTCGATACATATATCTATATCGAACGAATAATCGTATGTATCTTATTCCGTACAACATATATTAGAACAGGCTAATAACAGTGTGGTTGTCGGTGAATGCAGATAAAGTGTGGATTTGGTGAGGGGAAGGATCTGATTGTGACGGTGATGTCATCAATGGGTGAAGAGCAGATCTGTGCTCTCAAGGACGTTGGCCCCAAATGAATTCCCATTTCTCATTGCCCTCACCCTCATTCATATGGTGATGTTCATAATTTCCTTTTACTGGGGTTTCAAATGAAGAATTAGTTTTGCTAATTAGTGCATTCTTTTCAGTTATTTGATTTTTCAGTTTAATAATGAAATTCAATAATTCACAGTTTTATTTCTCATCGGTGAACATCTTATTATTAGACAATAATTATTTTGAAATCTTCATTTCTTGTGCATCATTTGCTGAATCATACGATGACACCCTAATTTACATGCTAAATTGACGAACTTAGAAATAAAACTAGTATTGATAATTGAACTGGGGAGATTTTTAGATTAAGAAAAAGACATTATTCTTAAAAGTTTTAAATACATGGACTAAATCTAAAAAATGTCAAAGTATTGAGACCAGGATTGAATTGCAGTTGTATTACGTTTATTACTATTGTAGACATGATAGATATTATTGCGATCGTTGTGAGTATTACGGTTATGCAATCATGATTTCGGAAGACACTGTTATTGCTAAATAGTGGACCCTGGCTGGAACTAGTAGTGTGGATGGTCAAAAAAAAATTACAAGGTAGATGAATGATACATTGATTTGTTTGTTGAATTGTTGTGACAAACATGTCAAATAATTAATCATTTTTTTCAGATAATTATACTAAAACCACATAATAGAGAAAAGGGTGACAGCTCATAGGGATTCATAAATTTATAATTTTTTATTTGAATTGATCTTGAACCAAGAAAACTATAAAACAAATAATTAAAAGAAGGTTTAAAATAATCAAGTAAACTAAATAAAATAAAATTAAAGTAACGAAGGCAATAAAAATTAGAAAAGTAAATTGTAGAAAAATTAATTATGATGAGAGATAGCCTCCAACTTCGCTTTGTGATTACTGAAATAAATTATACTTCAAGTATTTACCGATTACACTTTACAAGGCTCAACCCTTGTAACTTGCTCTTCTCGCTGATGAACTAATTTTTCAAAGTCAATACTTGGAATTTAGCCCTTATTTGGATTAATGTTGCATATCGTAGGAATGGCAATGAGACGGGTTCGGGGTGGGTTTTGCTCCCCCGTCCCCGTCCCCATCCCGATCCCTGTCGGAGATTTTTTCCCGTCCCCGAACTTGACCTGAAATGTTATACCCGACCCGATCCCGAGAAAAACCGTATTTTTCATTAAAAAAAGAAAAAAAGGAAAAAATATAAAATATTATATATAATTAATATAAAAATATAAAATATTATATATATAATTAATATAAAAATATAAAATATTATATATATAATTAATATAAAAAATAATATATATATATATATATATATAATTAATATAAAAAATAAAAATATTATATATATATAATCGGGGCAGGGCGGGGATACCTTGCCCGAACCCGAACCAGAAAAAATCCATGAATTTTACCTCGATACCCGACCCAACCCGATATTATTCAAACCGACCCGAACTTGGTCGGGTTTCGGATTTTCCCGTCGGGTTCGTGTCATTCTGCTATTCCTAGCCTATCGATTTTAGCGCAAATGCTGGTTTAAAACTGGAAAAGCCCGTGCTCATATTATGGTGTATCAATGAGAATCGAACCCGATCTTGATTTCCCTTAGTAGATCACTACTAAGTTTGTTCTTAGAGAATTAAACTTGCTACAAGTCGGTTCTCCTCCCCAATTGTAAATTGCAATGTCGATCAAGCCAATGTGTACTCCTTAGATTGAAGATATCAAGATGTCTGAAGAAAAACAATTGCCTCTCTTTGTCTGCCGAAAATTAAGAAAGAAACTTGAAGGTATGAAACGCCTTTGCTATTTTCACGAGATTGGATTTAGTCGTAGCTTAGCTATCAATTAACGAAAAGTTTAGCTAAACATAGTAGAGATCATGCTTTGCGTGTAGAAAGAAGGTAAAAAGAAAGAAAGAAAGATCAAAATCAGTTCTATATTGAATTCTAAACTTACTGTACGTCTTTCAAATTCACTCGGATAGGTATTTATAGCTAAAGAAAATAAAATAACTAAAGAAAATAAAATCCTAATAAAAATCCTTAGCAGAATTTAAAAATGATATCCCAGGATGGCAAAGAAGGGATGATAGAAGATTCTCGGTCAGAACGGCGTACGAAACCTGAATGAACCACCAAACAATTGAGGAAGAACCGGTATGGAAAGCGATTCGACAAGCAAAAATTTTACCCATAATCAAATCATTTGTGTGGCTTGCGGCTCATGGAGCTTTGTTAACAAACAAGGAAAGTACGAGAAGACATCTTGCTCTAGATGCGAGTTGCAGAATCTGTAACAACGAGGAAGAAGATATCAACCATATTTTGAGACTTTGCCCCACAGCCAGCACCTTATGGGTGGAACTCGTAAAGGAAGAGAAGCTAGAGGAATTTCTTGCACTAGGAATCAATGAATGGATTTTGAAGAACTTAACATCCTCGTTTTGCTTTGCTAAGGAAGAAGAGGCATGGGTAAAACTTTATTTGGAGCAATCTTATGGAACCTTTGGAAACAAAGAAATCAACGGATCTTTGCGCTTGAAGTACTAGAGAGAGAAACGATCCTAGAGCGTAGCAGACGACTTGTCATTGAAACGAATCGAGCTATAGCTTTCTTAGGAGACTCTAAGAAGATTAAATACATCCAAAATCGATCAGAGGTCAGATGGAAACCCCCACCACCAGGCTGACTAAAGCTTAACTTGGATGGATCCGTGAGTGGACCAAACGGAGTAACAGCTTGTGGAGGAGTGATTAGAGATGAAAAAGGAGAATGGATAATGGGTTTTCACAAGGCTATCGAGATATGCTCAATTTTAGAGGCGGAGCTTTGGGGAGTCTTGGAAGGAATGAAAATTGCATGGGAACTCGGTTTAAAAAAAAACTGATCATTGAGGTTGACAACAAGAAAGTCTGGAAGCACCTATAAGCTGCTGGCCAAAAAGATATTGAATCAACAGTATGGTATTACGTAGCTGATATGATAAGGAAAGATTGGAATATTCAAGCAGCACACACCCTTCGTAAAGGGAACAAAATTGCTGATGAGATGGTCAAGCTGGGACGAAAAGGAGATTAAAGAACCCAGAGAATGGTCGCACCTTTAGAAACAGTTTATAACCGTTGGATAGAGGAAAAGGTGGTGGAGTAAGTTAGTTTATCAGGCTAGGCTGCCTCGTCATTTACCAAAAAAAAATAATAATAAAATTTAAAAGTATTTGAATTTAATTATAATGTTTAATTCTTAAAGAATTTTGGTTCTCTTTGCTTTTCTCATTTGATCTTACTAGTTAAATTATTTTATTGAAGTTGACGCCCAACTTTGTCTCTAAATTTGTGTTGACGTTGATTTCTCCAAATAAATGAGATAAATATGTTTTAATTCGTACTTTAATTATTGTTTTCTAGAAAACAAAGTCCTACGTGAAATCTAACACAAATAATCCAAATTAACACTATAAAAGAGAATAACATGGTTTAATTAATAATAAATTATTAACCAAATAAAACAATCGTCATGTTGTTTTGAAATCTTGCATTTTAATCATCTTTGACGGCTGAATTTGGCCATGATTTACAAAATCTATCTTGTTCAACCGCAAACAGCACAAGGCTTGCTCTGGTAATTCCTCTGTTTTTTGTGCCTGCAAACGTTATCAAAACCAGAGACTACAAAATTTTATGAATTTCTCCACACTTTCACCTGCAATTCAATTTCGTCCTATCCGGAATCCCAGTTGTTTAAAATAAGAGAAAGAAATAGGAAGAACTTACCTGAATAGTCAAACCCAGATCGATGATACCATTTTTCATGCGGTCTAGAAATGCTTCGAGCCCTTTCCTAGATGTGTAGCTAAATCTGTGTATGTCGAGGTCGACCTCGAAGTAATTCGGTCCCTGGAGACATTAACTGAAAGGTCGGTTACGTTGTAACGGACACGAATATTTCAAGAAAAATGAAAACTCGTAACAACTAAGAATGATGGCATGTGAAACCAGCAGACAATGCTTTGACTGCTAAAACATCAATAGGAAAAGCTATAAATTTACCTTATAGAGATTATGTTGAGGGCGTGAAAGAACTGGCTTATCGTTATAAGCTTGAACAAGCTTATTTTCAGTACTACCTAACTGAAGTTCGTCGGCGTTAACTAAACCGGCCAAAATCTTCAGCTTCTCTCTGAAACGAACATTGGACTCTTTTGCAAACCCTTAACCTTTTCCATTTCATCTTCAATAAATTTCTGTAACAAAGCACAAGTCAAATATTGTTCGATATCCAACACTGATAATTACGTGTTTAAAGAGTTCTTGTAGAATCATATGTCAGTGAGTGGAATACCTTTATGTTGTCCTGGAAGTGAGGGGATATATCTTTGTCAAAAGTATCCAAGACCTTAAAATACAAGAC